GGGAAAACCACCGGAGGATCTCCCAGTCTTGTAATCGCAGGGTTAGAAGTTGCCCAGAAGACCCTACCCCCCCCCACCTGCATACGCCCTCCAACCAACCCTTCGGAGGAACCTCGGGCTAACTACGGGAGGGGAATAAACCAGGCGCCCAAGCAGAAGAAGGGCAAGGATTTACCGTCATGCCGTCGGCTGAATTCACCAGCTACAAAGTCTCTTGGTACCGTTTTCCAAGCAAGCAAGCAAGCGAAGCTAAAGTCACTGCCGGCGGCAACGGCGACTCCCGGGATCCATCTCCCAGCTCCGCGCCTCTCTCGCTCGCTCGCTCCGACTTCTCCTATCCGCCCAGAAGAAACTTTTTCTCCCCCGTTTCTTTTTCTTTAAAAACTTCCTGGGAGGGCGCGTCCCAGCCAATGGGAAGGCGCCGAACTGGATCCTCGGCGGAGCGCAAGTCCTCGACAGCCAATGAAGAAGCAAGGAGAAGAGGAGGCGGAGCTTGGCTCCCCATAGACGGGGAGGGGGGGAGAGAGAAAGAAACAGGGCCGGCAGCCAATGAGGCGGCAAATCAAAAAAAAAGAGAGAGAGAAGCAGCCCAGGGTAAGTGGGCGGGGCCCGGAGGGCGAGAGAGGCGCCCGCGAGTCCCCTTTCCCTTCCAAAGTGCAGGGAGGGAGCCCGGCCGCGGTGCCAGAGCGTGTCAAGCCGTTGACGGAGGAAAAGAAGGTGCTGCTGCTGCTGCTGCTGCTGGGCTGACGAACTCAGCGCTGAGTGCCCAGCCACCAACTGGGCGCCAGGATAAAAGTGGAGGATTATTTGAGTGCTGATTTACCTCCACACTGATCCAAGGGGATCATATTCTCTGTGCCTCCCGCTTGCTCCTACACCTTTTTTTTCTAGAGCTTGGAATTGTGAGGGAAAGGGGGGGGAGAACCCGCATCTGGTTGTAATTTTTAGAAGAGAAAGGGCCCGGTGGGAGCATTGGCGAGGCCTTACCTCCCAGCATGGGAGGAATCCTAATGCAAACGGTGCCAAAAAAATAAAAATAAAAAATACTTGAACCTCCCAGAGGAAGAATCAGTGATGGGGGGAGGGGAGGGATGTGGTAACATCTCACAATGGGGTGGGGCTGGGGGGCGTCGGTCTGGCAGCTTTTTCTGACACCCCTGGTGGTCCACCGATTCTGAGGCCCACAACCACAGTTACTATCCCCTGCAAAGCACCAGGTTTCCTTCCTGAGCAAACATGGACAAGAGGAGCTGTGTACTTAACCAGAAACTTTTGTCCTGCCATCAAGTTGCTTCAGACTCATCGCTACCCTATGACCTCCTGAGGGCCTCATCATAAGCAGCCCTACACACATCTTGCAAAATCCAAGCTTTCCTGAGCCAATCAGTCTCCTCTTTGGTCCTCTTCTTTCCCTAGCATTAGGATCCCCCCCCCCGAAAGTCTTGGTTTCTCATGATTAGTCAGAAGCAGACAGCCGGAATAATTTCCATACATTTTTTTTCCTCTGCCTTTCCTCAGACCAGTGAAATAACCGATCTGTACAACAGTGTGCTCTGTGACATGAAAGAACCTTTCATGGCAGGAGAGTACCCACAGGAGTAGGGATTTGTTTCAGTAAAGCTCTTGACCCATATCAAAACAAAGAGCCTTGTGGCACCTTGAGGACTTAACAGTTTTGTGAATACCCATTGTTCACAACACAACCACCACTATCAGTACTGCTTTCTGCACTTCATTTTTCTCAGACCACATGGGTTGCAATCACTGCTCCCATCCTTCGGTAATAACTAAGTAATTTTTGTCCCTGGGCTCACAGGGGCCTCCTTGTAGTTGGCCAACATGCTGGCACCCCCTTTAGTCCATATCTGCAAAAGCCTGTGCATGTTCATGTATCTACACAAGAACAGATAATACACACTCTTGAATCTCCTTAGGGAGGCATACTTCTCACCGAGAATCAAAGCACTGAGAGAATGTTAGGTGTGCTATAAGACTAGCAATAGTAAATACAGAACAGGAACAGCACAGAATATACCTTATAACTCTTCCATTTCTTTCATTCTTACTGTGGAAGAGACCAAGGATGATAAAAATCTCCTATTTTACCCCACCATACTCAAGCATGAACAAAATGCCATCAATGCATGTATATTGCCCCACACATTCCTCCCTTGATAATACTAGAAAAAAAGAGATGCTTTCGGAATGTTCCCTATCAATAGTTATAGCCTAAACCAAAATTTAAGGTGTTTCCAGATTGAAGACATTGTTTTCAATAAAAGGGACACTACAAATCTCTACCTGGAGGTGAACTGCTACAACTGCTTCCTTGAAGTACCAGCATATCAAGCAAATCTGCTTGCACAAAAAATGAAAGACAAACCAGCCAGTAGCTTTTCCTGTTCACCAAAGAACAAGAAAAACACCAGCAAGGGATCAATAAAATAGTGATCCCACTTGGACATCCCATTCTCATGTGCCTAGTCTAGAGAAGCTTTGCTTCTGGATAGTAAGCTAAGAAGGCTTTAACTCCACTGATCTGCACCATCAGTGTGAGAAATACTTATGAGAAATGCTGTGGTGCATAAGGGATAAGTTAGCTACTTACACAGTATCCCAAAGAGTGTTGAAGGAGATGAAGGTCTGTAAGAAATGTGCCTATAACCACATTTAGAAATCATCAATATAATTGAAACAGAAACACAGTAAATATCATGCTAATGATCAGTGTGGCTGCTGCATAGGTGCTATTAAGTGCAGGAGAACTTCAAGGCTTCTTCTAGTCAGGGGTCTCCTTGACTTGAAATAATCAAATATTCAAACAGATGGTTATCCTCCATCCTAATTGGAGATGCCTTCTGTGGCCAGAGGGACTTCCATTTTTCATCCATATTAGAACCCACTTTAAAAAAAACTAGTGGCATGCTTACTAGTAGCCCATCTTGTTTCAATGGATTATTAGAAGAGAACCCTTATAGGAAAAACAATAGCATAAGCTATCCTACACACCTACACACTATTAAGCAGCTGCTTCTGCCTACCATCTGCTAGCCTTGCCCAACAGTGCACCTGCAGTAGCAAATGGTAACCTTTTCTCTATCTTAAGCTCAAGTTACATGATTCCATTTAAGATAAGAAAAGGGGAGATCTTTTGCACTGGCTTCTTAATACAATGCGTATCCTTCCCTAATTATAATTGGGAGCCATTGGCAGAGAGAATGAGTGACCTGTGAATTCTGGATCCCCCTGTATTAAAATTAAAACTTCATTTAAAAAAAAATCAAACTAAATGTAAGTACATGCATACAACAAAACATACATGTAAGATAGTTATGGCTTAAGAGAAGTACACTCAGGTTAGACAAAACACTTCTTTGTAAGAATATTGCCATCTATGAGAGCACTCCAATGAAGCCCTAGATTCTCCATAATCACAGCTTTGCTGTGTAATCATGGGGTAGGAAGGCATCTATGCCAATTCCATGTTAACTGCAGTCCATTGCATCTCTGCCTTCATCAACCAGATGCAGACCTCTGCTTGGTATGATCACAGACATGAGCTTTATTAAACAGAGTTACTAGATTGCACATTGCTTATTTTCAGGGCAGATTATGCAGTTATAAAAATGCCTCAACTACATTAAGAAATCCAATTGATCTTGAAACACAAAATATAATTGGAATGCATTGCAATAAATGTTTGCACCCAAAGCCAGGTCTTTGCTACCAATACAGTGCGCATGGGTCATTTCAGTTTTATCACCTGTGAATAAGGATTAATTAAACTCTCAGGCTATTTCCCGCTGTCACAATTAAGGTGTTTTGTAGGCTCAGCAGTGGAAGCAATAGCTGGAAGAGAAGGGATGCAGGTGCAGGTGCCCAAGGCATACAACTAGATGCATATCATTTTCTTGCCGCTCCATTTCATGTGAAGTCTTGTTCATAAGCAAGGAGGCTCTACAGAAGGCATGCATCAAATCAAAAATACACAGAAGAGAAGAAAGATGCCAGCCACACCTCTTCCTCTTAAGAAAATGGCAACAGCCTGTTACCCTCTCCTTTTTTTAATTTCCGTCTCCAAACTACAACTATCTGAACAGCAGGAGAAAAGGGCTCCTGAAGTTATTTGCATTTCCCATCTACTGATGCCCACAACTTTCCAATAACTCTGATAGGCCAGATCTCCATACTACACTGTGTTTCTCCCCAGAAATTTGGGCCAAATTGTAGAAAAACACTTGTTCAACATATCTTGCCTTTGTGTCCAGAATAATGTGAATTCTATTGTTTAGCAATTTTTCATTATGTGAGCAGAGTTCACAAAGCATCTCCTTAAACAGAAAAACAGGACTAAACCTGCTTAGTCCAGCACAGAGCTTGGAAATGCTAGTTGAGAGATTCTGGGAGCTGGAGTCTGCAAATAGAATATGTTCTAAACTGTACCATAGCACATACTTCATCTTCAGAGAGACCCAGGTTCAGTTCCCTGCCACCTCACGTTAAAAGAACCAGGTGATGGGAAAGACCTTTGCCTAAATTCCTAAACAACCATTATTTATTTATTTATTCAATTTTTACCCCACCCCTCTAGACAACGTCTACTCGGGGCGACTGACCATTGTTGGTCAGAGTGTACAATACTTTGCTATTCAGACAGTCAGACTTAGAATGAGGCACCTGTTATGTTCCTATAAATTTTGTCTGTCCTGGACCATTACTAGATATTCCTTATTTGGAAATGTCAGCAAGTCAGTCTGTGGCTAAGTACGAACCCCTATCAACAAGCTGCAGCTTTACTCTTTACAGAAACAATAGTAAGGGCAATCAAGCATCTACCAGCAGCAACAGAAAACAAATCAGCCACCAAGAGCACTATGGCAGAAAGGCCATGTTTGCAAGATGGTTTCCTGCCACACAGTTATTAGTTAAAAACTGCCTTTTCCCAACTAGGAGTTAAGAGTCGTGGATGAAGATACTGTGCTAATTATAGCTTACCATACCTCCTGTTTCTTGCTGGTGTCCAGATAAATGTCTTGGTTCCTTGAGGAGCAGGAGCTTTTCAGAGGTTGTGGTCCATCTAGCTGGTGCTGCAAAAGGAAATGCGTAAAGGAAATGATATTTGAAGAGTTTTCATCCAAAAATGGCTACTTGCAAAAGTTAACCAGTTTCACGCTCAAACATTTGGGGGGGGAGCGGTGGGGTAGTAAAAATATACAGATTGTTTTCATTCACAAACCAGAGAACTTTTACCCATTTTCTAGCAGGCGCCATTATACTGATAATACTCTCCAAATATTATCAGTACACACTTGTGAAGAACCAGTTCTAAGCAATTCTACTGAGTGGGTGTACACTACTACCAGGGTAGCCCTTGTTCCAGATTAAACCACTCAGAAATACAGTATTCTGTGTTCTACACAATTCCTGCTAACTTCCTCTCCTCCCAGTATTTCTGCTTCATTCCTCTACTTCTTTCATGCTCATTTCTCTAGTGGTCCTTGTCTATTTTAAAGATGTACATAAAATGACCCATTTTGGACTCATTCCATGGACCATCAGGATGGTTCCTTTCTCCCTACCTCTCCTCTTGTGCATTAGCCTTGGTTTGCATTAAATAGAGTTCCCCCATTTTGCACATAATGGGAAACTCAGAATTAGTCATAGCCCGCCTTAATGCTGTGATTAGTTAACTCACATAATGCCTGAATTCTCCATTCTCAGTATAAGAGGAAATCTGGTTTAATGCAAGGCAGGAGTCTACTGCCAAAACTGATGAAAAAAGGGTAATCTAAGCACTCATTCCCAAATTTCTAAAATAATCCAAACTAGACTGCCTGGTGCCTTCTGGATACTTTATTTTGAACTACATCTACCACAAATCCAAGCCAACATGGCCAGTGAATGTGAGAGCTGTTGTCTAATACATTGGTTCTTATCCTTTGCTACTCAGATGTTTTTGGACTGCAACTCCCAGAAGCCTTCACCATCAGCTCTGCTGGCTGAGGTTTCTGGGAGTTGCAGTTCAAAAACACCTGAGTAACAAAGGTTAAGAACCACTGGTCTAATACATGCTTGGATAAAGATCCAAGGGGGAATAGTGTAATTATTTATTAGTACATAGTGGTGGTGGGGAATCATAACCTGTGTGGCCCTCCATATTTGCTAGACCCCCACTATGACCTCTCTATAGCCAATTACTAGGTTTGATGGCAGTTGTCCTCCAAATGTACTGAATTATCAGAGGTTCCCCACTGTTTTGCTTCTTTGGGACTTCCACCCCCCAGAAGATCCCAGCTAGCATCGTCACACTGGTCATAACACGGTCACAACATTTTCTTCTGTCTGAAAAGAAAGCCTGCTTTCCCATTTGAGCCAGTCTATGTTTCTGATTACTATGGGAAGTCTGTAACATAGATATTCTTACACACACACACACACAGAGAGGCAAGAACCCATTCACACAGACACACAGCAAGAGGTTTTCAAAGTGGTCGCCATGTTAGTCCATCCCAGCCTGTACAAAAAAACCAAAGCAAATATAAGAAGGAAAGTTTGTCAGTTTGAAAGTTCATCACTGACGTAACTCTCACCTTCTCTTTTCAATCTCATGGGGTCCCACCGCTCCCCTCCCCTCCCCTGTGTACTTTGTGCACGTAAACCTGTGGCTTAACAACAATATTCCATGTGACAGCAGAAGCAGATGGCAATCCACAAAACCTCACACTGGAATCAATCAGTTAGTCTTTAAGATTCCACAACTCCACAGTTTTTATATTTGCTACAAAGGCTGAAACATACAAACCCAGGGCTTCTCCCAGATCTGTGTGAGAACTGTTGGTGGAAAGGTAACAAGTCTCACACATCCAAGCATAGTTTTGAGCTACATGGTTTGCTGTTTTTGCTGTCCTAAGACAAAAAGGAGGGAAAGAGATGGACTGGGAAAATAAAATCTACACACAACTTGACATCACTTACATTGGAGTACTGCTCTCCATTCACAGGTAAACTTTACAACCTTGGTGCAGCAACAACCCGTTGTACTTTCAGAGTTCTCTCAAAGTCAGCATGTCTTGGGTACAATGCACGTCACATTTCAGCTTTCAGGGTGCTTTGAAAGCAACTTTATCAAGTTACTTTTCATGCCCACTGTTCCAAAGAGAAGTTGCTTGAATGCAGGCATCTATTACTAAATAAAATCTATACCCTACCTTTTTGTATGATAGCTGGAAATAGTTCCATTTTATCCAACGAAAGCATAACTCGGACAACATGGATACTAAACTTTCACTGACATTTTTAGTAACTTGATGAGTGAACGAGGCTAAAGAAACTTTAAATGCTTGACAAGAGCAGAGAATTGCTTTTTCCCAATTCTTCATTTTATTCACAAATCCAGCACGAAAGCATACAGTCCGAACAAGATTCCCTTATGCAAAGGCAAAGAGTAACCCTTTTATTCTAAAAGGATGAAAATGGATTTTCTCCGGGCTGGTCAAAACATTTTGCTATTGCCGGAAAGAACCGGATGGGCACCTCCCTGCAGTCCATATGCCAGAGCTGACTAGAACAACAGCAGCACCTTACTTTGATACCAGTAATTAGGACACTGTGCCATGCGGGAGACTGCAGGCTCCTGGTGAGGAGCAGGACAACTTATACACAGCACTGTTCACTAACAGGGAGGCACAGCCAGAGAGTTCCCCCCAAAACAGCTGGGAGGTTGCCAGTGCATCCCGTGCTCAATGCATTCATCTCACTCTGCTTAACAAGAGAGCCAGCCCTGATTTCTTAGTGCATATATGCTGAGACATGGCTCTGTTTTTGAGGTCTTCTTAACTGCCGAGAACACAAGGGCAAACCTTTCTCTGTCAAAACAAGAAGAAAAGGTGGGAAAGGCAAGAAAAAGTTTGGTTTGTTTCCTTACCTGGCAGGAAAGCTTGTCATCTTCACTGCTCCAGTCACTCCCTGCTTGATTCTCCAGCCTCCGGAGACTTGTGCATCTCTCCACATTTTGCTGTTCATCGTCATCCATCCATCCTGTTGGGCTTCCTTGGCTTCTCCAAACGCTCTCCCGCTGCCGGGGCTGCCCAGACTTTGCAGAGTGCTGGTAGTCTCCTTGGCCTAGCCACTCTCTCTCTAAGAGCTGCATGGGGTGCACATGACACAAGGGTCCTTCTTGGGTTTGGGGGCTACCCTCTGGTTTCGCGGAGCAGGCAGGTTGTCCTTGGCCAGCCCTCTTGTGCTCACTACCTGGCAGACTTGTGGAACAGGAAAGCTGGCTGCAACCCTTCCAGCCATTCTCCTTCCTAGGAACAAAACGGTTTGATGGCCTGCCTTTGCCAGGCCAGTCATTCTCTGGGCCTTGATTCCTTCCAGCAGCTGCTGCCGGCACTGCCTCCCTTTGGTTTTTCCAGCAAGGCTGTGGGTGCTGTGCAGAAACAGCACAGCAACTTGCTTGTTTGGGGCAAGCATGGCTACCTGCTTCCATCAGCCTCCCAGGGCTGGGAGAACGACTCGTCTCTCTAGAGGACTTCCCACTGTTTTCTCTACTTCTCCCTGGACTGAGGGAGCGTCCAGTCCCTTGTTGGCTTCCACTGGGACACCTTTCTGGCCCAAACATCCCAATAGCTTCCCCATGGCTTCTCACACCAATACCTGTGTCTCTTCCAGGACTGAGGGGGCGCTTGGTCTCTCCTCGGCTTCCCCAACGAACCTCTTGGAGTCTTGGAGGACTCACTGTCTGCCCATCTTTCCCTCCAGCTGGTGCTCCCCTCCCCAGGCTGAAAGCATGTATACATTCTTGGCAGTCTTTCATGTCCTCCCTCAGACGTTCAGTTATACCTACAGGGAGCAAAGGTTTGCCACGGGCCTTCCGGTCACTCTCTTTGGACCTCTCCAGTAGCCTTCTGTGGCCCGCATCACTTGTATCCAAACTCTTTGCAGGATTGGCAACATGCAAAGCATTCAAGCAGCTTTTCCACTTTGTCTCTGTGGTCTTCCCTGAGGTCTTGGAATGGCTGGTCTCCATCAGCTGGCTTGGTCTACTACTATCCTTTCTGAGACCCCCAGGAAGAAGGGGAGCCTTCTCCCCACCACCTCTCAGATTGCGAGTCTGTTCGTCTCGTCTCCCCCCACCTCTCTCTGCTCGCTGGGAAACTGGGGCACTGGAGTGCGGGGTCGCCCCTCTGCTCCGACTCTCCCTTTCCAGGTGCTGAGGGGCATTTCCTGAGTGCAGAGTCTGGCCTTGACTCCTCCTGATTCTTTCCTGTCGCTGATCAGGTCTCCCTGAACGCAGGGACTCTCCTCCACTTCTGCTGGGCTGGGCAGAGTCCCGTGGAAGTCTCTTGCTCACCTGGCGAGGTTGAGGGGGAAGAAAGAGGGTGCCTTACTTATTACATTTGTTAATGTACATAAGATAAAATTGCTTATGTTGTTAGGTTTTATCTCATTTTATTATTTATTTGAAGCATTCTATTTTGTATTTTATAAGCACATTGTTTTGTGTTGCGTGCCATTTTGAGTCTTTTTTGTAGAAAAGAATGGCGGCATTATTGGCATCATCATCATAAAAATGGCTTGATGACACAAAATGTTAAAGTGTTTTATATTAAAATGCATGAATAAGGCCTAAGACTAGAAAGGTACTCTTTCAGTCAGCATAGCCACTGTGTTTTAGTCCAAAAAAATAACTGATTTAAGAGGGATTGGTCTAATACACGGCTGGGAAAATCCAGGATGCAGGATGCCCACCAATATTGCCCCTCCATCCCCTACAATTATCCACATGTCAGAAGAAATACAGCATCCTCAGGTATGTTTTTGCCACTTGAAGGATTCCTCTGAGCATGTTTCAAGCTCAAAATAGCTTTAAGAAAATTGTTACTTCCTCCACCTCCAAAAAACAAAACAAAACCCTACTTCAGGGCTGTAGGGGATAAGGCGGACTGTAAAATGAAGTGTTCCCCCTGATGCTTCTTGGGTCCACCTTCCATTCTTTTTAGTATTTTGAGGGGAAATATAACATCACAAGGTTTGGGTAAGAGTAAAAACAGTTCCTAACCCTTGGAGGGTTACCCATCCCAGTCTGGTGTATATAAAAGCAATTCTAAACTGTTTAACTTCAATTTTTAGAAATAATAGATTAAGAACACTAAAACAAGGAATGTAAAACCAAAGCAGTCATAAACATTACCACCTGGAGAAGGCCTATGTAAAACAAGTATATTTCCAGTGCCATTTAATGTGGAATAGAGTCTCCAACACTAAGGAGAGATTTCCATCTCCAGAAAGCAGGTGCCACCACTGAGGCGGCTTTGTGATGTTACCCAGCAGCATTCTGTTGCTTGTTGTTTGTCATTTGAAAGAAAATCTTTGTGTATAATGGTTTTTTTAACCATTTAGTTAAAAAGGACTCCTTACATAGATCAGTACTGTGACTGTCCCTGCCCTCAGGCTTAAAGTCTGAAAAGACATGACACACAAGGAAAAAGAGATAAGGAGGGAAAAAGAAAAGAAAGAGAAGAGAGCAAGCTTAGGTACCAGTTTGCACAGTTTTTGTCCTTATCACAATAGTTAGACTATAAACAGTTTAGGTAGCCTGATGCTTCAGGGTGATGATGAGGGGAGGGGCAAAGGCAGCAGAATAGCCCTGCTTATCTCTTTCCCTTCTCCTTTGCAGCTTTCTCCTTTGGGAAATGTGGCCACTAGGCAACTACTCAGTATACTTTGCTAAGCAAGAGAGAAAGACCATACAGCATACAACATGTGACCATCTCTGGACTACAGCTCCCACCATTTCTCATCATTGGCTGGGAGTTGCAGTCTAGTGACATCTGGAAGACCGTGCATTCTTGTTAGCCAAAATCCACAACTCTCTCTCCAGCAAAATGGGTATGTTAAATAATCTGCACCCATTTTAACATTGTCTGGAGCAGTTGTTCATAATCTTTAGTAACCCAGGTGTTCTTGGACTGCAACTCCTAAAACCCCCAACCAGCACAGCTGGTAGTGAAGGCTTCTGGGAATTGTAGTCCAAGGTTGGGAACCACTGGTCTAGAACCTGTGCTTTCATTCTGTTTGTTGACAGAGAGCTTGCCCCTCTCCCTTTGAGGACCGAGAGTCTGAAGACAATTTCCTTCCTATGCTGCTGAGATTTGTCCAACAGGAGCCCCAGAGCAATACGCTTCTGATCATTCCTTTATTATCTAATATTCCCACTTTGTAGAAGCACAGTGTTAAGGACAGTGCTTAGGGGGAAGTAAATCCTTTATTGAAAAGGACTGCCATTTTCATTTCCTCCATGACTGAGCATGTCTGAATGTAGCTGCATTCACACACCTTTCTTCCTCTTGGCTGGGACGGATACCACCAAGCTAGAGCAATTGGTGTTCTTATTCCCAATCAGAGATGAACTTCAGATATTTCACCAGGTATTAGCCATGCCTATTTGTAAGCCTGCTTTGCAGCCTAAGGCTAACATGGGCAAAATGTGGCCTGCAGTATTAGGGCCTGTAAGGGGTTGGGGAAATAAAAAAAAGTCCCCAGAGAGGCTTCCATGGTTAAAAAGAAAACTTTTGTTCAAACCCTTTTACATAAAGTTTTGTGGGAGATTTCCAAGAGCACAGTTTAAATATGGAAGGGGGTTGTCCTCAAATTATTCTCATAAAAATCCCAAACCAGAAGCAAAAAACTTGACTCTTCTAAGAAATTTTTTAAAGTTCCAAATGTATATTTCTCCACCTGTTGCAGCTAAAAATGCTTGCAAAGAACACAAGTTTACATGACACTCCTGATAATCCACAAAAAGAAACATGACATGCGTCAAGAAAGTTATAGTGCTTGAGTCACTCATTCCACAAATCCCTTGGTGCCCCCCTCCCACTTCTATTGCTGGACATGTTGCTTTTTTTATGTATTTACGACTCCTAAGGCACAACTGGGGAACCTGCAGCCCACAAAGTGTCCATAGACTCTAATTACCATCTGCCCTAACCAGTCTAGCTAGTGGTGAGGGATCAAAGGAGTAGAATCATTGTCATCTGGAGCAACACAGCTTCACCAGCCCTGTCCTATTGGAATTATTTTTTTTAAAACGCCAGTAATGTATAAACACGAAGTACAGTAGGACAGCCATATTTGCCAGATTAGTATCTGCCATTTCACTTATCCCCACAGTAAATGAAAAAAAAACACCTAGAAATATATACTGTATTTCCAAGATGTAATTACCAGAACTGGCCATAAGAGGAATCCAGAGACTATGCTATATATACAATTCACTATGATCTGTGAGTTTCTGACATCCGTGGGGGAGGGTTTGGAGCTGTTCCCCATGGTTATGACAGTCCTACTATAATATTCTGTGCCATGTCTAAGGCATAACAGGACTGTTTCCCAGTACAATAAAAGAAACACACCATGCCTAACCAGGTCACATGCAGTAATCAAAAATAGCAATAGAGTACTGGATGGGAAACTTAAAGCCGGAGCTTCTTAAGTAACTTCTTACAAACCAATAGTTACTTTCCTGTTAACTTCTTCTAGCAGTTACAAAAGTTTAACTACATTAGATTACAACTGTAATTCAGTGAGAGGTAACAACAGGTAACTGCAGTGTAATAGTAACTTTTTACAGTTATTGAGGTGTCTTCTCTAAATGGAGGAATAGTACATAGTTTAAGCACTGTCCTGTAGATGTTGAGGCAGTAACAACAAAGAGGCAAGAATATATTATAGCACTTAGAAGTCTTATAGGTAACCAGAAGTAACTATTTGAATTACTCCTAAGGAACAAGAAATACAGAATTGCCTTTTTAAAGAAGTGCAACTATAATGGAGATGTCTTATTGACCAGAATCCTGCTTAATTAGGCCTGTCAACGTAAGTCCATCAACATAAATTTTAACAGTGAATCAGCACAAGTTAAGAAGTCAGTGTAGGTATTTGATATTGTACACCAGCTGCGTGACTTGGTGTGTAATAGCAAAAAACCTATGCTGATTTCTTAACCTGCAGCAATGCGTTGCTGAAATCTGCACTAACTGGTGCAAATATCCCTGCAGGCTTCACCAGAGGTCCTGTGATCTTGGTGTAACTATCAGACACTCAAATGTTTTTAGTTGTTTTTTTGCCCACCATTATTTACCATCAAGCCTGATGCTGGGCTCCAGAGAATTACAACACCTGTATATTTTTGTTAATTTACAGTCCGTCTTAATAAACATGTTGCCTGCTTGAAGATTCTGGGTTTTGTTTTGTTGTACTGCTACAGGTTAATGCTGGTTCTATTTTTCCCCTCTTGTTTTTAACAACTGCTAGCTAGCTTTTCTTATGTCTGAAAACCATGGGTGTCACTGGTTATTTTTGAAAAGTAACTTTCCAAGCAATGTGTGGGGCCCTCAAGATGTTATTGCACTGCCAGTACAATCAGCCCTCACCATCAGTTTTATGTTGGCTAAGGCCCACAGGAATTGCAATCCAAGAACATCTGGAGTTACCATTTTCAGCTGCTGTGCTCACTGCAGCCTTTCTGCTGCCACCCTCTGGCAAACAGAGAGGAGCAACCAGCCCTTCCTTCCTACAATGAAACTGCAGAGGCAAAGAAGCATCTGAACTGGTTTGTAATGCTTCCTCTCCCCCCCCAACGCCCCCACCCCTGTGCCAAGATGATGAGAAGAGCCAAGGGTTGTTCAACTGCTAAGAGGGTATGTACTCAGCACAGCTTGCCAGAGCAACTAGACTGGCAAACTGACACTTCCTGCCCACTGGAGAGGATGATGGGGTAGGGGCTTCCTCGACTGCTCAGAGGTAAGGGAGCTCTGTTAGCACTGCAATTAACATGGGAAATTGCCTACTTGCATCACAGTGCCTCTGGGGGCCTAGACAGCGTATTCCTTGCCTTCTCCTCCCACAGAAGAAACTGGCATTCAGACAGTTGACTTCTTTAACTATCAAAGATATTTCCAGAGAGGTAACTGCATTAGTCTATTGCAGCAGAAATGTATTCATCTTTAAGGTGTCACAAGATTTGCTCTTGCAAATAAAACTTGTTGGTATTTCAGGTGCTAGAAGTCCCTCAGTTGTTTTAGCTGTCAAAGATACTCTACTGAACGTTCCAAGCCAGAAACAGCACCACCTTTAACGGGAGGCATAATTTTTTTTAAGCTGGGCTGATTGCAGGAATAGCAATATCATAACCACTCTTCCGCTGATCCCTTTTGGATCCTTCCATTGGCAGTGTCTGTGCAGTTTGGTTACTCAAAGCATCAGCTGGGTGGTCAGGTCAACAAAGAATTGCTGATTTGTATTTTTGGACTACTGCTCCCAGAATTCCCAAGGTAGCTGTGCTGGGTCAAAGGAGTTACCCAAGGTGCTATTTCAGATAACTCCTGTAATGTTTGGACTAATATCTGGAATGGAATCACCAGCCCACTGACACTGACGCCACCCATTTCTAATGACAGTGTCACATGCACAAGAAGAGACCAGATCTTCCTGTATTACCACAACCACCACCCCTTGCACCAAGACAACATATTTATGATGCTACTTGGGAGTCACAGAAGTCTGAAGACTTTCCTGCATACTTCCAGAAGAACAAGTGACAATGAAAATAGCTCACAGGAGAGCCGCTGGAGACATTCAGAAATCTTCAACTGTAGCACAGCTTGGAAAGTAGTATCTTTTAAAAAGAGTTATTTTTAAAGAGGTAGCTGGGTTAGCCTGTTCAAGCATGTAAAAAAGCAAGAACAAAAACAAATAGATTTATTTTAGTGAGATCTTCTGGGGGAAAAGTTGCAGACGTAACAGGAGGGTATTTGAGTGTTCACTCTGAAGAGCACTGAGATTAATAGTCTTTTAGTCTTAAATTTGCCACAAAACAGTATTTTGGAGGCTTTATTTAAATTAATAATTAGTTATAGCCATCATTTCAAAGGCCACAAAATATGATTTGTAACCATTACAATTACAGTTTTTTAAACAAAATCCTCTCTACCCTTCCTGTGTGCTTCAAAAGTAACTTAAAATTTTACTTTTACCTGTATTTGCTTTTTAAGAAACCAGTGGAATGTTACAAGCACCTGTCATCTACCTCAGTGGTTCTTAACCTTTGTTACTCAGGTGTTTTTGAACGGCAACTCCCAAAAACCCCAGCCGACACAGCTGATGGTGAAGGCTTCTGGGAATTGCAGTCCAAAAACATCTGAGTAACAAAGGTTAAGAACCAGTGATCTACCTCATTGTACTCTCAACATCCACAACAGAACATGAGGTTGAAGCCTAAGCCAACCGAAACCATGGGACTGCCCTCTCACCCCTTCCAAGAGCACAGCGCCCACGTTACTATAAAAGTAATTACATTATATTCATACCAGAAACAGAACATTTCCCCTTTTTAAATTACAGTTGAAAGATAATGTTTTATAATTAATTGGTCAGAATTTTGTTGCTTAGCATAGTATATTGCACAAGAGCAGGCTCTCTGTATCATTGAGGATTTAGTGAGTTAATTCCTCCATAAGGAGTTAACTCCTTCAATTGATTCAGTCAGACCTACTCTAACCAACATGCTCTAGCATACGTAGTAATTCCAAATAACTAGTTACCTGCAACTAATTACTTCAAAGTTTTGCACTGTGCCGGCTACAGGACATGAGAAAAATGAGGATGGAATGTGTTCTACCTTTGAATTATTTGAATGTGTTCTACTGTCAAGTTACTTCCACCTTTATAAACTTAGTATACCAAGGAGAGAGGAAGGCTAAACTTCTTCTTTCTCACCTTCTGCAGCTGAGGATCGGTTGGTGCAAAGATATTTTCAGACTAGCAGCTTCCTGCCTGACATTAGGTGGCAGAACTGTGCCATAGAGGCAAATCTGAATTACCCCCAGTGGTTATTATGAGAGTTCAAAAAAGATTCCCATTGAAGTAGCTCTGTTAGTCTGTCTCAACATGTTGGCAAAAAAAGAGAAATACAGATACTGTACACATTTTAGCACTTTTAAATCCAGCCATTTTCCGAGTGAGCTCACAATCTACAAAAAAACTCTCACTGAAATATTTCAATGAAGTATCATTTCAAGCAAAAACAAAAGAAAAACAAACAAAAAGAAGAAGACAAAAACATTGTGGCTACTTAAAAACGAAACTGCTATATTTTAATGTGAGCTTTCATGGACAATTCCACTTCCTAAAATGTCGATGTATCCACAAAAGCTCACATTAAAACATAGTCTTTAAAGGGCCACAACATTTTCATTTTTATTTTTTTTTTGTTTTGCTTTTGCCTGATACGTGAGCACAGACTAACACAGCTACCTCTTCCGAAATATCGTTTTTAGTCTTTAAAGTGGTAGTATATTTTTGTGTTATTTTCTTTCCTTTTGCCAACACTCCAAGAAAAGGTGAGAAAGCAGGTTTGCTTTTCAAAGGTGAAAGACTCTGCTATACACAGAGAGAACATTAGAAAAAGCAGAGGAGAAAATTCAGGCAGGGCCCATTTCCCCTCCCTCCTTAGTAGCTACAAGTGCTACAAGGGACTGAAATCCCACCTTATGGACTAGCCACTCACATCTCTGCGCAAAGTGGGGCTCGACTGCCTTCTGACCAGCCGCCCTTCCTTGGCTAGCTTCAAGCTCTTACTGTCCAGCCGTTCCAAGAGGCCCTCCTCGAGGGCTTGAAATGCCTCCAGTGTCTCCGACTTCCTAGCATCAAAGAGAGGGGGAAATGTGGTTACTGGGTGTTATTAGAGGTGAAAAAAAAAATCTCTGAATGCACTCAGGGAACCTGCTGATCCTGGGGCTCCAGGCCGCAGCCCTCTACACAGTTGCAGATACAACAGGGGTGGGCAAAATGTGGCCTGCAACCTACATGCAGACCAAAAAGGCATTTTTGTGGAGGTCCTGGCTACCCCCAGAGCCCTCCAAGGCAAAGTAAGTCCCAGATTTGGAAAATAGTTAAAATTTGGGATTTCCTTTCGTAGAAGCCTTCAAATGCCATGGCTTTTTATTTAGGGCAGTAGGCAGAGCCTCCCCTGTCCTCTGACCTCTCCCCAAATAAACAAAAATTAAAACTAGAAGTGGATGTCCAGGTACTACTTTTTATTAAAAGGGGGGGGACTTGTGTCCACTTCAAGGCCCATGGATACCACAGTGGATATTGAGCTAAAGTTTCCCCCCCCCCCCCAAGACAGAGTTTTCCATCCCTCAGCCATTCTGAGAGAATAGATTTTCTGCTGTGCAGAAAATAGTTTGGATTGAATTGGTCTTGACCAAAGAAGTTAAAGGCTATTAGCCTTACAGAAGAATCGCCCCTAGTGGAGCTGAATACCACCAGCATCAGTTTACTGGTGTGAATCAGAACAGCTGCCTGCACTTCTCAGCTTTCCTTGTGTATTGAACTGTCACGGCGAGAACCTGGCACACATCCACTTTTATGGGCAAAGACTTCAGCTTTCCTTGTGTATTGAACTGTCACAGCGAGAACCTGGCACACATCCACTTTTATGGGCAAAGACTTCATTTTATAACTGTTTTCAACCTTCTGGGACTTGTTTTCCACACTTCCAACCATCTTAAGAACATAAGAAGAGCCCTGCTGGATCAGGCCAAGGGCCCATCTAGTCCATATTCCTGCATCAAGGAGTTCCACAGACTAACAACACTTTGGGTAAAGAAATATTTTCTTTTGTTTTCACTCTCCCAGCACTCTATTTGAAGGCTATCTTCTTTGCCTTCACTGCCAGGAAGATGTGACTGTTGTCATATTTTTGTGCAGTGTGAACAACGTTTTAGTTTTTTTATACTGGGAAAAATAAACAGGCAATCATAGCACTACATCATCTGTCTCTTTGAGGGAAACTGATGGGTGTGCTTCTTTTACACCACACTGTGCTCTAACAGAATTAAGGCAATGATTAATCTCACACTGATAGTTGCTCGCAAATACAGGATCTGAGTGGTATAGTGGTTAGGCTTGTGTTTTGGGACTTAAGAGATCCAGGGTCTAATCCCTACTGTTATTGTTTCAACTTATATACTGCCCCATAGTGCTAAAGCATTCTCTGGGCAGTTTACAACATAATTATGCAAACAATAACTTCGATCTACAGTGAGCGGAGGGACGTGGTGGCGCTGCGGGCTAAACCGCAGAAGCCTGTGCTACAGGGTCAGAAGACCAAGCAGTCATAAGATCGAATCCACGCGACGGAGTGAGCTCCCGCCGCTTGTCCCAGCTCCCGCCAACCTAGCGGTTCGAAAGCATGCAAATGCAAGTAGATAAATAGGGACCACCTCGGTGGGAAGGTAACAGCGTTCCGTGTCTAAGTCGCACTGGCCATGTGACCACGGAAGATTATCTTCGGACAAAACGCTGGCTCTATGGCTTGGAAACGGGGATGAGCACCGCCCCCTAGAGTCGAACACGACTGGACAAGAATTGTCACAGGGAACCTTTACCTTTACCTTTACAGTGAGCTGAGTACTCATTTTACCAACCTTGGAAGAATGGAAGGCTGAGTCAGCTTTGAGCCAGCTACCTAGATCCATTGGGATGAAAATCAGGTCGTGAGCTGAGGCCTGACAGCCATTAAAAAAGAAAATATCCACAGGATGACTTGCGCTGGTTACAGTTCAGTTGCTTAGATCTCTGGCTGCAGAGCCAGAGGTTGGGAGTTCAGTTCCCCACTGTGCCTCTTTGATAGGGGCTGGACACGATGATCCATAGGGTCCCTTCCATCTCTGCAGTTCAAAAGTTATTATTATTCTGGCTCCCACTTTGAACTGCTTATGGTATGGTCCAGCGTGAGCTATTTCCTGTCTATCTTATGATGTACAGGACATCATGAACCAGCCTGGTCTTGAACCATACCCAAGCCAGACTTTTTTGGCCTGGTAGCAGGGCTACTCTTTTGAGACAGGGACAGGCTGGAAAGATTCCCGCATAGACAGAAAGATCCCTTTAAAGGAAGATGGCTGCCAGTCAAGCAACTCTTTCCAGCACTAATCAGACACAATCTTCTCTCACCGTCTCACTGCAGTCTCTGCCAGCTGGATCTACCTTATAGGGTTCCTGTAAGATTCAAGTAGGATCAAGGAAAGCCAAGTATGCCACCTTGAGCTCACTGGGGGGGAGGGGGAGGGAAATGGGGTAGGACTGTAACTAATAAATAAAAACAATTGCTCCTATCCTCTCACCTGCGCTCAGGTCCAAAGATCCGCTCCACTTCCGCCCGGCCAGGACTTCGGGTGCGAGAGCCACTGTAGTCTTTTTCAAAAGCCTGCCGGTGGTTCAGCCGCTTGGGCTTCGGCAGATCTGCCAAGGCGGTGTACTCCTGCCTCATCAGCCCGTGCCTACCCTCACCGCCACTGCCACTAGTGCGCCAGCCCAGGTCCGAATCTGCAGAGGTGGCAGAGGAAGTGGGCCACCCTCCCACTCCTGGGCCCTCACCCCACGCAGGGAGAGTGCTGCAGCTCACGCGGGGAGGGGATGAAGCCCGGCTGGGCTCCGATTTCCGTCGCTCCAGAGAGAAATAGCCACTCTCCGCTTGATGCTTCCTTTTGCCATCCCCGTGGTCCTGGCTCACCGCTCGAGATCCTGCAAGCAGGAAGGAATGAGATACTAAAGAAATTCCTCTCATTCTCAAGGCATAGGGAGGGCTAGGAAGGGAACAAAGCAAACAACTAGCCAAAATGGAATGTCAAGTATATCAAGATGTATTGTTTAGATGGGGGCTTCTTAGGGCACCAGCAAATTTAGGTCAGAACTAGGCTGCATGGAAATTTATAGACCATATGGACCAATTATTCACAGCCTTCCTCTATTGTTAGCGTGCATTTATCACTGCCAAAAGATATTAATTAATGTGCAAATGAATGCAGCAGTTCTCCTGGCCCAACAGAAGGGTCAGCATTACAAGATGGACAGCAACCTTCCCCAACCTGGGCCTCATCAGATGTATTAGACTACAACATCCATCTGACTCAGCCAGCATGCTTGAGATTGCTGGTGTGGACTTTCCTCTCTAGAATGTACTTGCCTGCAACCTCTGTTCCACCCTTGGCCCTCCTTCAGGACAACATGTACCTCTTCAGTTAGGAAGCTAAGCTGCAAAAGCTGGACACTTTTACATAAAAGGAACTAAGCCAAGGCTGAGGTGCATGCCATTCCTTTACAAGGTCATTACAACATGGACAGAATCAGAGCTTGGAAAAGTTGTTAAGTTGGACTACAGCTCCCAGAACTGTGCAATCTGTGAATAAATGATGTATTGTTTCTAGGAAAACAGCTTTCATTTGTAAAGCAGCTTTTTTTTCTGGCTTTCCGGTGAGTGACACACATTTGGAAATACAGGCGGGACATGGAGAAGACCCAGAAACTATTTTAAAAAAAGGACTTACCTGGGTTTCCATTTTTCTGATGATAAATTTCCATGCTCTGTGCATTTCTTTCTTTCCCTCACAAATTTCACCACCCAGCTTTTATCCCCATTGGGCGTTTCAACTGGATTTCCAAAGTGTTCTCACCTTTTCATTTCATCTCCTTTGCCCTCTCTATCCTAGCTAAGAAGCATCATTTCTTTGAGAATCAGAGATTGGATGTGCAGCTCTGTAGATGTTTCTGGACTATTTATTTATTTGTTTTATATACCACTCATTTGGCACCCATTTTTTTAACATCTATTTATTTATTTGATTTATATACCGCTCACCTGGCACCCATTTTTTTAAACATAAAACAACAAAGTAACAAAAGGGCAATAACATGAATACTGTACATAGGGGCAAAACTCAAAAGTCATAAAGTGCGGTGAAGATAAAATTACAATACAATAAATACAATAAAAAATATAAAAACTACAAATCCCATCAGCCCTAGCCAACATTGTCAGTGGTCTTGACTTCAGGAAGTTGTAGTCCGTCAACATTTGGAGTCTCCCCAAATGATCTAAATAGCAGGAGCAGAACAAATTAGGCAAATCTACATGAATGTACTTAATCTCAGTTTAAAATTTGGAGCACTCAGACTATATACCTCCTGTTGGAAGGAATGCTTCCTTTAAAAACCTCTTCAAAGATCCACACTGATATAGGATGCTGGTGGTGGGGAGACGTACCTGCTTTCAGACAGCTCCAAGAATCTGTTTTTCCAGAAGATACTGCCTCAGCCCATCTGGGTCTATCTGAGGGTATGTTTTCAGGCCGTACATCTTGCTTCTGGCCTGCATAGTACATCATGCCTTCTTTATCAGATCCCAAAATGCTGTCAAGGATCCTGGTCATTTCCCAGTCCTACAAAAGAAAGGGGGGGTGATGAAAGAACTCATAACATGTCACTGTAAAGCCCCACAGAGAAATTCCTCTCCTCCGTCACATGGACTCGATCTTACGACTGCTGGTCTTCTGACCTTGCAGCACAGAGGATTCTGCGGTTTAACCCGCAGCGCCACCACATCCCTCAATGCAGGAATACAAATCAAAGGATATCTGCCAGGTCTAGGTTTGTCTTGAATGCCTCCAGTGCTGGAGCACTCACTACCTTTCAAGGTAATTGGTTTCTCTGTCTTACCACTCTAACAGTTGGAAGGTTTTTCCCACGACATTCAGTCGAAATCTGGCTTCCTGTAACTTGAGCCCATTGTTGCATGTCCTGCACTCGGATGATCAATAACAGATCTTGCTCCTCTTCTGTGTGACAGCCTTTCAGGTATTTGGAAAGTGTTATCATATCACCCCTCAGTCTTCTTTTCTCAAGGCTAAACATGCAAAATTCTTTCAGCCTTTCCTCATAAGGCTTGGTTTCCCAGCCCTCTGATCATTCTTGTCACCCTCCTCTGAATTTGTTCCAATTTGTTAGCATCCTTCTTGAAGTGTGGTGTCCAGAACTGGACACAATACTCAAGGTGAGGCCTAATCACTGCTGAATAGAGGGGGCCTAGCACCTCATGAGATTTGGAAACCATACTTCTGTTAATGCAGCCTAAAATAGCATTTGCCTTTTTTTGTAGCCACATCACACTGTTGGCTCATATTCGATCACGATCTATGACAATTCCAAGACCCTTCTCGATTGTAGTATTGCTGAGCCAGCTAGCCCCCATCTTGTAAAAGTGCATTTGGTTTCTTTTTCCGAGGTGCAGAATTTTGCATTTTATCCCTGTTGAATTTCATTCTCTTGTTCTCTGTCCAGTGCTCCATCCTATCAAGGTCATTTTGAATTTTGTTTCTGTCTTCCAAAGTATTAGCTATTCCGCCCAATTTTGTTCATTGCATCTGCTTGTAATAATTTAGAGGCTATCCTTCCCAATATACTGTTTAGAAAATGAACCTCTGTTGATTTAAAACACTATTAACATAAAACAAAACACAATGCGTGCACACACAAAATGCCAGCGAAAAATTCATTTATAAAACCTAATCCATAAAAAATGAAAACATATAGGAATCTCAAGCAAATGGGAATGTCTGGTCCTTGAAATGGCTTATTAATTTTAAAGCCACAAGATGAGAGAACAAAAGACAGAAAATGCATAGTAATTTATGAGAAAATAACATGGATTTAGTTGTTGCTTTTTAAAAAGAAATATAGGCAGTGTCAAAGATAAATGTAGATCACTGGTGATGGAGCTTCATAACCTGGGAACCACCTTCAAAATGGTCCTGTCTTTTGTATCTGTCCAACTAGTGCATCTTCCTGATAGGTCTATAAGCAGAGCCTATACAGCATATCATAATGTCCAAGCAAGTTTTTATGAATTTAAGCTGTCCTTCAAATATACAAAACCATTTAGTATTTTGTAGGCCGAAAGAGCACTTTAATTTGTGCATGGAAGCACACTGGTAACCTATGCAGCCAATTTGGAATTCAAAAACCACATGTTCTGTTCTCACAATGCTCACCAACATCCACACCACCAGGTTCTATACAGCTGAAATTTCTAGACTGTCTTCAGAGACAGCCTCATGCAGAGTCCATTGCAGTCACCTAACCCAGAGGATATGACCAGAGTATGTACAGCTGAAGCAAAATTTGTTGTCTCTAGAAGGTTGCAGCTGGCATATTAGTTGAAACTGATAAGAGACATTCCTAGACATAGATAGCAACTGTACTCCTACAGGCAGAAGTAAATCAAGGGGAGCCCCCAAGCAAAAAACCTGATCCAAAAAATCAGTACTGAACGCTCACTGAAATTCCAAGAACTTACCGTTGGCTGCCTTATCTGGGAAAATCCACACAAAAACAAAACAAAGCAGGAAATAGATGAGTGTTTATTTCTGATTTTGTTTTAGGAGATGTTTGGGGCTGTGGTGGCGGCTTTGAAAGCAAAGTTGTCCTTCAGGAGAAAGTGCACTTTTTAGGCAAACATTTTGTTTTTCAATGTGTACTTCTGGGAAGTCTGAAGGGGCCTCAAAGAGAGTCCTGGGGGCCAGATTGGGTCTGTGGATCCCACTTTGTCCAACAGTTTTGAGATGATGCCCAAAATCTACTTTGCTTGCTTTATCTGGTAGGTTATAAGGGTGCTTCTGTAGTAGCGTTCTAAAGAAGCTCAGGAAGAAGAGATATTTACTTATTTAAAAAGGTGGGGAGTCCTTGGGTTGCCAAAGAAAGAACACACATACACACATCCATCTCACCCTGCCCAGTGTGTCATTCGTTTCTGTATCAATGCATGGGGTGATGTTGGTGTCAAGGCACGTTCTGGCTTCTTCAGGTTTGTCTTGAGCTCTGCAACTGAGCTGGGTGTACTCCAAGCTTTCTTTCCAACTGCAGATCAGGCAAGACAAAAACAAAGGACAATCACTGAACTACTCAGCTGTGAGAGCTAAGCTAAGATTCACACTCCTAGCAAGGAAGTTCAATCTTCCCCAAGATCCCAAGTTACAGTAGTCAAGACCCATCAGCAGGGATTTAACTGTCAACTCTAGACTTAATGGTCTTATGGTAGGGAGGTTCTTTAGACCAGAGATGGGGAAACTATAGTCCTCCAGATATTGTTGGACTACTAGCCAATATGGTCAGTGGCAAGGAAGTAGCAGAATAGTATGTAAAGACACATACATTATTTGTGCCTGACTTAAATCATTAGATGCACTACTTAATTCACTCTGCCGTTCTGCTGAGTGAGGCCCTGGATTTCTGCTGTGCCACCCGAAGCCTCAAGAAAAAGCAAAGATCCTTATCAGTTTCACTACTACAACAGGCTGGTGGGACTAACAGGGTATTATCTTTCATTGGTCCTACATATTCTAGAAACGGCTGGCAACAGGATGCATCAGTTACAAGAAGCGTTTCCCATTCACACTAGACTACCCATACTTTCTATTTTCAGAGGATTCTGGGGTTTGTAGTCAAAAAAGTAATTCTTTAGTAATTTTTTACAGAAAACCCACAGTCTGAAAGGTTGTCTTGCCTAAGTCCAGTTTAGAGAGAGAGAATAACCTCATGCTAGGGCAAGGCTTCACATTTGGCCAACCCCATGGATAGCAAATGGGGGAGGTCAGCACTCTAGCACCACGGGCACAGTCTTTACCTCTATGGGGAAGGTAACACTGCATTTCTCATTGCATTAGTAGTAGAATCATTATTTCCAAACTTGTGCTTAAACATAAGAATCGGCACACACCAATTTTATCCACCTCTGTCCTCTTTCTGAAGGTGCACTCCTCATTTTATTTTGATAATGTTTAAGCAACACCCTTAATCTGTACTTAAAAGGACTGCCTCTTCTAAGAGAACAAGCAGAGGCTGCAACATATACAGGCAACATCCAAAAGAAAAACCATGCGTAGAAAGGAGGAGCCCAAACTGCAGCTTAGGTACATGCAAACTGAAGCAGATTTCATTCTTCGATTTGATTAGACTCCTTTAAGCATATGACAGCCCTGGCAAGCAATCCTATACATTTATTCTATATATACGGATTAAATGGTTTTCAATGCATTCCTATGGGAAATGCAGATTCGACCTGAGAACTTTTTGACCTCAGAACTGCCTTCCAATACGGATTAAGTTCGTAAGTCGAGACCCCACTGTATTCTATACTGATTATTATTTAATCCCATTTTTATTTCTACTAAGAACTCAAGGAGGCATGCAGAATTCACTCCCTCTTTCTGTTTCATCTACTTAACACCCCTGTGCGGTCTGCCAAGAGAATGGCAACAGCGCCAAGGCTGTGCAATTCCCCTGTAGCAAAGTGGAATTAGACACCTGATTTTCATCACAACCCAAATGTCTAACCCAGCTAGATGTCCTCTAGATATGTTGGACTATAGTTCCCAACATCCTGAGCAGCACATTGATGGGAGCTGGAGCCCAACGTGCCTGAAGGCTACCAAGACCAAGGAGGGTTACTCTAAGCACTACGTTACAGTGCATATGGTCTTGAGGGGCTGAGAGGGGGCTTATTTTTAAAAAAACAACAAGCTTCTCCACTTCTCTTTTCATTACAGTGGCTCAAAGAAAGTGCCTTTTAAAAAAATCCTAACCCCCAATTACACTCTCCCCCCTGCTGCTGCAAGGCCATTTGCTTGACATCCATCATCCTGCTCAATTCCAAGACAAGAAAACCCTCCCTCCCTGACTCCCCACTGGAATGTACTTACCTTTCAGCTCTATCCTCTGAGCCTACACAGACATAGAGCTCACACTGGGGCACTAAAATGCACACGGGATCCAATGGGTCACGGGGAATAGATTCATCTGCACCAGCAACACAGTTGGGAGCTTTCACTCCATGTTCCTCCAATTCCTGTCAGAAGGAGATGAGAATTGTAAAAAAGAAGGGGCAAAGGCACGTCACTGGGTTTTTTTTGGGGGGGGTCTTTTTGGGGTGGTTTTTTGTGTTTTTTGTTTGTTTGTTTTGCATTGCTCCTTGCGGAGTAAAGACCAGGACTGAACATTCCTACATTTTTTCCAGCTACTTTTCCATTCTGTTTGAGGAAGAGATCTGTGTAGGCTTATCTATTTATTTACTGGATACCTAGTTTGATGTAGTGGATAGAGTGACAAACGAGCACTCCAGAGAGCAGAGTTCAAATCCCTGCTTAGCCATGGAAACTCACTGGGGGAGTGGAAAGGCTGCTCCTTAAATATCTCACTTACCTTTAAAGCCCTGCTAGGGTTACTGCAAGTTGGTTCTTAACTGGACAGCATATGTAACAACAACTACAACATGCTTACTAAGAGGAATTCAATTAAACAAGCAAAGATACCATCTTAACCTTTATAAATTTAGTGGTTATGAACATTCTTGCATAGGGGAATAACAGAGGCTCTCTCTCTTTTTCAGTGTCTTTCTTCCCCTCTTCAGGACAACAAATAACAGGTATTTGTATAAACTGCTCTTGGATTCTTCAGCTATTACCCTAACTTAAGCCCACATATGAGCATATTTTCAAACAAAGCAGGACCAACTTCGTGGTGGTGCTCTCATTTACAAAATCTAGAAACAAGGGTGGGCAATACTTTCATTGGACCACTTTCGTAATTCACAAGAATCAAATTAAACATCCCTTAATCAAAGCTTTCCTCCTTTCTCTATATGGCAGGGGGTGGGCTGACCTAATCGAGCTTGAAGACTCTCCCTGATCTCTCCTGGAAGCCTGAGCACACAACTCAGCCAGCCCGAGGACAGCAAAACAACAGACAGGATGGGAGGTGCCTAGAAAATCACTTCTCATACCAGGCATATTCCTTGCTTCAAGGTGTTCTGAGCCCATGACGTACTGACTAGCCCTAAATCAAACTACTTTTTTTGGCGCCTTCCCATTTGTTAAGATAAAACATGTATTCGTCCCTAAATAAGATTAACACAGAAGCTCAAAGCAAACTTTACAAGAGCCTGAGCCAAAAAGCATGCAAAACAAAAATAGAAATAGCATACTGTATTATCCCAATTGATCCCTAGCAATCAATAGCACATGCTGTAAGAACACATGGCCTTCTGCATGGCCTTCATGGAAAGGTTTTGGCTCTGGTGCCGTTAAATCACAGAATAGAGTAAAAGTAAACGCTCCCCAGACTTTATAGTTGGAGATAACAACTTAAGGCCCCTCTAGATGCCATCAGACTACAACTCCCATCAGCCATAGCAGCAAATGATAAAGGATGATGGGGTTGTGGTCCAACAATAACCGGAACCCTACAGGCCCACCCCTCCCACACTCCAAAGGCTTACTTAAACAAGCAAACAAGCAAAAGAAATGAACCTGTATAGACCTCCTGAGAAGGACCACAGACAGATTCAGATCCCTTGAGGGATTCCATAATTGAAGCACCACTACGAAATAGGTCATGCTTGACTTGAAATTTGTTTGTATTTCTTTAAGGAATCCTGACTTAAAGGAGCCTACAAAACATCTAACATAATGGCACAGAAGACTGCCAGGTCTCAGACTATGCAGCCCAGTTTCAGGGTTTGGATGTGAAATCTCAGAGACTGGGATGCTGCCAACCTGACAATTTTAGATTTTGGAATTCATCCTTATGACTTCAGGACATGCCACTGACACATGTTCAGAGGGACCTTTGCCTTTTTTTATTAAATCATTCCAGAGCTGCTACTGGAATCCATACATTGGCCTAGTAACTCATCACTGAGTCCTACATTATCTGATGGTTGTTGTGGTTTTTGGGGCTCTTTGGCCGTGTTCTGAAGGTTGTTCTTCCTAATATTACACCAGTCTCTGTGCTATCCTCTGCACACAACAACCATTAGATCCCGGCCTACATTATCTGTTTGCCACACATACATTATTTACCATTGCTGCTGCCCACCTCCTGTGACATCGCAAAAGTGGGTAATATAAGCTAGCCAGGGATAAAGAAAACCCTGCCCTTTTGTGGGAGGGTGAGCTAGATGCAACTACAGTAATGGCAGATTCTGAAGGACAGGTATTTATCTTGGCAAACTTCATAGCTGCACACCTGAAAGAGAACCACACCTCTGCACAGCTACCAACCTTCAAACAGCTGTGTTGATCCTGATCAACAAATCAGTTCTAGCTATTTTCATGACTACCAGGAGTAGGTCTTTTGTAAAACTAATTGGTCTTAATTGTCTATGAAAAACCAAACCGCCTCAAGTTACTTTCTAATTACTACAGGAATAATAGTGCACAACAATATAGTGCTATGGGTAAAATTCACCCTTCCCACCCCCAAGCAATTTTGAGGAATGCAGGTAAACTCTGCTGGGATAGGGAAGTCTTGAAGGAGAGGCAGGTGAAGTCAGTGACTTCACATCAAAGAGTGTGGATGCTGCTCCCCTGCACATCCATCCCCTCCAAACCCACAAGTCTGTGGGCAAAGCCATCTGCCCCACATGTGGCTGGTAGGAGGGAAAAGACTCCTACAGGTGAATCATAGAATGGGAAAGACACCGTTGGTGGGTGCATGAGACAGGTTTCTGGAGACAGCAACAAAAGTGTCAGAGAAATATATTTTCCCCAGCTCAGTTCTAAAGCCAAACCCTGAACTTGCTTGTCTCTTTAAAAGCCTTCTCGTTGCCCTCCTTAGCTAGAGAGAGACAATACTCCCACCCACCCCAGTTACCTTTGGAAGGTATGATCACCAGAGGAGGGAGGGTCCCCCCCCTCTACCAGCAGCCTGGCTGTCAGCACCTCTACTTCTCCTCCATTGTCCTGCTCAAGCGCAGGGGGATGGCTGCTCGCAGCAGACTGTAGGCGAGCCAGGAGGAAATTCTAGAGGACCAGGACTGGCAAGGGGGAAAGAGGGAACCTCATTACTATTTCATAATCTTGGGCTGATCTAGCCCAGCCTTGGACAACATGAAACCCTTTGTTAACAAGACACCAGCTGGCACTCCAGAGAGAGGAATGGGGTTTACACTTGCCCAGCCAGGGAGTGGGTCAGAAGCTGACAGGTGACTCACTCCAGCCTTTGTAACCCTGCTACATTTAAAGGACAGCACAGATCCTAAAGGAGAAAAGGCATCCTTTGGGTGGTACAAAGTTTAGGATTCCTGTAGCTGAAGGAGATGTAAATTCTGGACACTAAAAGCACCTCTCACTTCTACAAAGTGGCAATCACAGGTTGCCCTATTTCTGTATTTCATTTATACTCTGCCTTCCTGCTAAAAAAGGTGCTTCAGGGAGCTCACAGTAACCAGACACAGATTTCAAATAAAAGCTTCCAGCATTCATCACCACTAGCTATGCTGGCTGGAACTGATAGGACTTGTAGTCAAACAGCACTGGAGAGCTGCCTTTGGCAAATGCCTGAGTGAGACCCTTTTCAACAGTAGGCCTGCTTCTGTGCCCAAAACCTACCTACACAAAAAGGTTCTTGCCTGCTGGTGAAATGACTACAGAAAAACAGCCAAGAAAGATTGTTTATAAGTCTAGGAGAAGCCTTCTGGGAAGGCCTTCTCTTGCGTCACCATGAGACACACCTCTGATGACAGTGGGGTCTAAAGAAGGGACTCCTCTGAAAAATCTTAAAACCCAGGCAGGCTCATCTGGGAGAACACGGCCTTTTAAATAGCCTGGCCCCCTGTCATATTGGTCTTTATCAGGGCTGTATTAGCCCATGGCCAGGTCCCTAAGCTTCCGGGTCGGCCTTTTAAATAGCCTGGCCCCCTGTCATACTGGTCTTTATCAGGGCTGTATTAACCCATGGCCAGGTCCCTAAGCTTTCGGGCCATTTGGGCCTCCTCCAGCACTTCAGTCTTTCATCCCACTACAGCTGACAGCCTGATCAGAAAAACTGGCCTAGTCAGCCTTATGAATAATACCACCGCCTTGGTCTTTATGGGTCATTACAACTTTGAATGGTGCTCAGAAACATCCTGACAGTCAGTGCAGCTGTCATAAAAAGGGATTTAAATGGGATTAGCTGTCAGAGTTCCTCTCTTCCTGTTTCCCCAAACACTCCTCTGCAAGACAATTCACCTCTTAAAGGCAATTCTGGGCATTCTCATTAGTGCAAGAATTTCCAGAATTTCTACACAGGCTTGACAAGAAACCAAAACTGCCGTGTAGATGGAACCTCAGTCCTATCCTAACAGGCCCGTGAGACAGCCTATTGCATTCTAATTTGTCTTTCTGTGGCTTCTTGTCCCAAGAGATTTCTATAAACTTGACTTTTGTCATCTGTTGAAGCATCACCACAGTCCTACTTTTCATTATCAGCAAAGTGTTTAACCCTGCAATTTGACACGCATGTAGAAGTAAGGCTCACTGAACTTAATCAGGTTTACTTCTCAGTAGGCACACATAGGCATGTGCTATGCTCATTTAAGTTTGCACTGCAAAAATGCACCATCAGTTCTTAATGCCTCAAGAAAGCCAATCATGAAACCAGCACAAGTAGTGGTATTTCTTCTCTGTTTATTTTGTACTTCTCCAGGGTGCTAAAACTATAATGCCCATATTTCTTTTCTCATTGCAACATAGCCATTCCAGCCTTTTGAAAACCAGCAAACAAGAAGATTTCAGGAAGGAAAAAAGACAAAGGAAAAAAAACCTCACACAGGAATAGTCAAACATGGTACAGAATTCCTGTTTCCCCCCCTTATTCATCCAACAAACACTTTGTAATTGTGTCAGTTAGGGAAGAGGCCATTGGTCAGGGGTAAAGTACCTGCTCCGAATGAAGAACCCAGATTCATTTCTCAGAAAATAACAATTACAAAAAAAATAATTTTATAAATATTACAATAGTTATTATAAAGATCTCATCTTACAACTGCAAAGCTAGAAAGGACCCTATGGATAATCTAGTCCAGCCCCTGTTAAGGAGGCACAGTGGGGAACTGAACTCCTAAGATACCTAAACCATTGAGCTATCCAGCAATTCTAGGTAGGATTGGAAAAAACTCACATCTGAATCCCTGGAAAACTGCGGTTAGTTAGTGGTGTCAACAGATCAGTGGTTTTCAGCTTTATAGCCTTCCAAATATGTCTTGGGCTTCATCTCCCAGAGTTTTGCCCATGCTGGTTGGGCTTTCTGGGAGAAAAAGTCCAAAATATCCCAAAGGCCAGAAGTTAAGAACTACTGTGGTTGACTAGATGGAAAGGAGCCTGGTGTGTGTGAAGGCAGCTCTCTATGTAAATTATGGTTGCCTCCCCTGATCTTGAATTTGAGAAGTGCAAGCTCCTTGGGGCGGGAACTCTAAAGCCTCATGACAGCCAGTGGGGTACACTGGTTACAGGCCTGGCCTGAAACTTGGGCAAACCAGGTTCTGGTTCCTAACAAGTCATGAAACACATGGGTGACCTTGGACAGCCATTCTCTTTCCCACTGACCTACCTGAAAAGGTTATTGTGAATGCAAAGCCACTATGTGCTCATTGCAGAAGAGGCGGGGTCTAAACACAAATAAACAAACTTAGATATTAAACATGAATACAGATGAACTGTGTTGCTTAGAATAATTGGGAAGATCGTATGCTCCTGTTAAATTGTGACCAGATATACAGCTATTAAAGGCACAAAAGCCTCTCTGGTCCATTTAAAGGGAGACCAGTAACTACTCTGCACAAAGCCATTGAGACCTCATTTTCAGCTTTTTGACACCTCCTGCCAAAATCCTTAGTATCTCATTAACACAGTATCTGGCAGTCCCTGTGGTTTCATTCAAAGTCCACATTAGCAAACAGCACTCAAAATCTCTTGTCTGAAGGATTTCTCTTCCCCCCCCATCCCACCCCCTGCTTTTAGGTTTTGCATGTCAGCAAGGGAAGGCCACTGTTTTACTTTACAAAGTGTGTGGATTACAGGAAAGACTCCTCACACCCCTTCTTTGCACAAGGCTCTGGGCCTCGAATGAGATGTTTGTGCTGTTTGTTGTTTGCTGGGCTCAAAAATGGAACAGCTGGGTAAAGGCCAGGACCACTGCCTCATCTATATTGCACAATAGTAGTCATCTGCTTTTCAATACTGCGGCAGCTACCAAAAAGAAATATTTCCAAGCAGCAGCTTGACATATTTATTTGTTTGGTATAAATTTTATCCATCTCTTCCTGTATTGACTTCAGAACAACATAACCAGTTCCCCTACTCACCCCTATATATTCTCAACAAACCTGTGAAATAAGTAGTGCTGAGGAAGTGTTACCTGCTCAAAATCACTAAATGATTTTCCTGGCTCAGTGGAGACTTGAACTTGGACGTCCCATGCACCCAATGCATCGGCCACTGCACCACGCTGACTTGTTCAGCAGCTGAGGGAGTGAGAGAAGCCGCATCTGCTGATGCTTCTATTTCTCAATATTTTGTAAAGGTTCAAAAAGAGCCCTCTTGTTGGAAGTATGGCCCGTTTTACTCTATGGCAGATTTCTCAACCTGGGGCCCTCCTGATACATTGGATAACACCTTCCACCATTCCCTAGGCAACACAGCCGATGGTGTGCAGGGAAAGAAAAGCCAAATTAGAATGAAAATATTGGTGCAAATAGTTTGGTTAAAGATATGAAATACATATATGACCAGCAATTCCACTTGGTGGATTGGGGGTAGACTGAACAGCCAGGGCCCAGTTCGCCTATTAGCGAGAAAATTAGGAGCAATTATTATGGGACAGGGATCGTGGATCAGAAGCCTTTGAAGAGGAAAAGCTGAAAACAGCTGATACCCTTGTAAGTCTGCAGCAAACATAATTAATTACATTAACCATAAAATCACACTGGCTGTCAACAGTGTGACTTAAGATTCAGCCTTTCTCCTGTGACAAAGAGTCACACTGGCAGGCCTGGAGATCATACCTTGTGATTCCACTTTTGGATCTGCACAGCATCAATCACCTCACATCTCAATCCTCAACTAAAGAACCATTCTGCGGCAGCCCTGGTCACTCAACCCTGTCTGTTGATAAAACCATATCACTTCCCTGAAGTACACACACCCTTCACAGCTCCATCAACTTATTATTTATTTATTTATTTCATTTTTAGACTAACGTTCCTCTGATGAAGGTTATTTATTTATTTATTTATTTCATTTTTAGGCTAACGTTCCTCTGGTGAAGAAACCCAAGGTGGCTCACGATTTTTGCAACAAATTACACTAAAAATGCAACAAGTAACAAAGTTAAAAATATATAATTAAAAGGTTATCTGTACATTTAATAATATACATCATACTCTGACCCAGGACAACTCAAGATCAATTGCTGTCTGAGGCAAAAGACGTCTACTCTCTACCTCACTTCATGTACAGAAGCTGACAGGACTGGTAATTGAATATGACTCCCATACCTAAGGGCAGCAGGCTAGTTTAGGGAATTTAGGCAGGCCATGTGAAATACACAGCTCTGCCCATCATCAGAGAGGAACAGCTGGGGGCTTGGGAAGAGCTGAAAGGTGACTTCTGCCCCAAACACCCTCCATGGCCCACCCACAAGTTGATGGCTTCATTCTGCCAGCTGTATGTACCCTTCTTTAATTAAAATTATGAATATCCCAAGGAAATTTGCACTTCCTTCTTTAAACTGGGGTGGGCAAAGGGCAATCTTCCAGAAGTTGCCGGGTTGCAACTGCTAGTGTTTCTCACCATTGGCTATGCTGGCAAGGGGTCGTGGGAGGTTCTAACCAAACAACTTCTGAAAAGCCATCCCCATCTTAAAACTTAGATGCGAGAAATACCAGCTCAATTACAATTCTCTGCATGTCCAATTTTTCATTTGTTTTACAGTACTTGCTTTAGGAACACAACCACCAAATCAAATCATGAAACATGCATACAATGCACACGCACACCCCTTGGGTCAAGTTACATCAGCTCACCTGGTGACCATGCTGGTGAGCAGCGACTGTTCGGAAACAGTTCTGGCACCGGTTCTTGGCAAATATATTGGCCTCAAACTTCTCACAGGGAACATGGTCAGTCATTTCTGACATGGTCCATGCAAGGAAAAGAAGAGCTGTCAGGCATGCAGTTGTAGGGTGCTAGCTGCAGGGGAGGTAGGGGAGGTGAGGGAAGAAGAACAGCTGTGAAAGGATCATTAGACAAGACACATGCACATCTTCCTTTCCTCCAGTCTACCAATGTTTCAAACAGTTTGGCCTGTACTGACAACAGTGGCAGGAAATGTCTTGATCTTCTGTCCAACCAGGGTGGGAGTGTTCAGAGAACAGCAGCAGAGGTAGAACGGGACTTAATGGCAGACATGGGGAAAATATTCATCTATACATGAGCATCCCACATTTAAATAGGCCTGCTTACTGCATATACCAGCTCATTTGAGATAGCTTTGTGCAGAAGTTACAGCAGCTTTCCCTGATTTGATGACCTCAAAGGTGTGGAAGACCACAGTTCCCACCCTCTTCAGCTATGCTAGTGCAATAGGTGGGATTACAAATTTCATGCCCCTACACAATCATGAAACTAATTTGGCCAGTCACTGTCTCTTAGACTAACATGCCCTATGGGGGGACATAATGAGGCAGAGAACACCAGGAACATTACTGTGAACTGACTAGAACAGGGACTGGAGAACCTTTGGATCTCCAGATGTTTCAGACCTCCATTCTCAGAATCCCCAGCTAGCATCCTCAACAAGAGCCATGAATTATGGGAGAATCCACAAAACTTGGAGGAGAAAAGGTTCACCATTCTAGCCTTAGATGGAAAGAGCCATATAAATTTAATAATAAATTGTGTGTAGCATCACCATGGTGGCCAAGTAGTCATTCAGGCTACTACTTTGATCGTAAACGCATGTGAACAGGAAAGCACTGATTAAACATATTTAAACAAGGTGAGATGTGCAAGAAATGCTCATGGCAGTACTCACAGTCATCATCATTTCTATTTTAGCATCTTAGGCATCAGCATAACTTTCTATCCAAAGAAAACTGCAGTACATTCATTAGCTACTGCTAGCCGATACAACCCTGAGTGCTCACTGGAAGGACAGATCCTGAAGCTGAGGCTCCAGTACTTTGGCCATCTCATGAGAAGAGAAGACTCCTTGGAAAAGACCTTGATGTTAGGAAAGTGTGGCAGCAAGAGGAGAAGGGGACAACAGAGGATGAGATGGCTGGACAGTGTCTGCGAAGCAACCAACATGAAATTGACAGAACTCCGGGAGGCAGTGGAAGACAGGAGGGCCTGGCGTGCTCTGGTCCATGGGGTCACGAAGAGTCGGACACGACTAAACGACGACGACGACGAGCCAATACAGCACAGGTAGTTTTAGCTTGTTTGCTGCTCATGATAAAAACGCTAGTTTGGTATCAGTGCTTCAATGGGAAAGGCACAATGGCGAAGCCATATTCTGTGCATGCAGAATGTAGCAGTTCAATTTTCGATGCCTCCAGGTAGGTCTAGGAAATAATCATGCCTAAAACTCTTGAGGGTTGTTGCCGGTCAGTGCTGGCTATACTGAATTAGAGACAGCAATGGTCCAACTCATTAGGAGGGGCTTTTCCTGTGGTTACTTCCCAATTATGGAATGAACTTCATTCTAAATTTCACCTGGCCCTTTTCTGGGTAACAGTCAAGAAATTTTTGTGGTATCAGTGCTTCAATGGGAAAGGCACAATGGCGAAGCCATATTCTGTGCGTGCAGAATGTAACAGTTCAATTTTCAATGCCTCCAGGTAGGTCTAGGAAATAATCATGCCTAAAACTCTTGAGGGTTGTTGCCGGTCAGTGCCGGCTATACTGAATTAGAGACAGCAATGGTCCAACTCATTAGGAGGGGCTTTTCCTGTGGTTACTTCCCAATTATGGAATGAACTTCATTCTAAATTTCACCTGGCCCTTTTCTGGGTAACATTCAAGAAAACTTTTTCTATTGCCACAGGCTTTTCAATCCATTTCATTTAATAGCCGCTGATGATGCATATTTAACACCTTTTGCTGCTACCTGTTTTAAATATTTAATGTTTAAAATTTTTACTTTTATTTGTTGATTTAGTTTAATTTACTGTAGTTGCTTTTTGACCCTTTGCTCAGTTTATTTTATTTTATGGTGTTCTATGTTGATGTTTTATAGTTATTAATTGTGCTTTGCTCTCTGTTGTACACTGCCCAGGCTACAACAAAAGTGTTTATACATAAATATGTTAATAAATAAATAGATTCCTAGCCACTGTTCAGCTCTTCCACTCCTTCCACACCACCAGTGTGGCTTCTCTTTGTCCATCCCAAAATATGCCTGACCAGCCTCTTTTTTCACCAGAAAGGAAAACACTGTCAAGGAAGAACAAGGAAAACACAGTGCACTCACTTCCTAGAGAACCTGAATTTAGGTAGTCTTGGAAAAGTTCCTTTTGTGGACTACTCCAGAATATTGCCCAGTATGGTCTTTAGCTACGCTGAGCAGGGCAGGGGGATTATGGAAATATAGGTCCCAGAATGCAACTTTCTCCAGCTCTGATTTCAGGTGGCACAGCTGATGGCAGTACTTTGATTTTAGATGGCACTGGTTTGTTAAGAGGCAAGAGGCTCAAGTATTTAAAAAGACCTGCATCAGGGTGGGCAAAAAACAAAACAAAAAAACTCATACCCTATGGCTCATTAGTTCATTTCTGGGGGTGCAATGGCTGCTAGGATTCTTTTTGCATGGTGGAGCACATGATTCAGCATCACCTCATGCAGATTTTTCTTCAAAAATGCTTCAATAGTTGAGAAATCTTGAGGATGGAAACTTGGATTGGAAATGTTAAGGTTGGATCCATAGATAACAGGAATGCCCCCTTTCCCTTTGTTAAAAGCAGACTTCCTTACAAGAAAGCCTGTCCCATCTTTTCACAACATTTGGTGCCTGATATTTCCATCCTAGATTTGCTCCATCAAGGAGAGACCTTCCACTCTTCTCATGATTTGGTGGCCATACATCCTAATGCAGGGACCTACCTAATGTTAAAAGAGATGGTTTATGCTTGTACGGAATATTGTGCCTTCTCAGGTGTGTACATGCACTGAAAGCACAGCTTGGAAATGATACCTGTTTGAACTACAAATCCCAAAATTCCTAAGCAGCATGCTGTTTGGGAGAATTTGGGACTTGTAGTTTAAAAGGACAATATTTAAAATGGTTCCTTTCATGTTCTGCCTTTCCACTTCATGTGGCTGCATTGCATATCCAAAACATTCACATTTTACAAGCCACCCTTTTCAGCATGCAACTCTTCAGCCAAGATTATCAAGCAGCTCTCTTGACCATGTCTGTGAGGTAGGCTCATTCTGGCTTTCCATTTAACAGACAGTGGAAATGATAAGGGCAAGATCACGCACAAAGAAACACTTTAGGAGGGAGTTAAAAAGAAGCACATGCTAGATCCCCAGGCTAATTTTAACAACAATCAATGTGTGTTTCCATAAACACAAGGCCTGGATTAATAACCATACATACCTGTCCCTATTTTTAAACCCATTTAGGGTCATAAGAATATACTGATAAAATAAGTCATATTACTTGACATAACCATTAAAATCTAGCTCTTTCTGCAGTCTAGCAATTCCATAACACGCAAAATATTAGATTGTCTTCCCACACCACCCACCATGAAGCTTAAGCATCAATTTATCTCTGAGTCCTACTTCTGTGTGCTGGGTTTACCAGCCACCACATACTTAAAACAAGTCTTAAAAACTCTTCTGTTTCAAAAATACTTTATCTGAACCCAACATCAACCCAGAAAGGGAAAGGCTATAAAGCACAACTTATCATCCAATTAAAATTATCACCTTGCTGCAAATTCTCCTCTTACCACAGACAGTAGATCGAGTCTTACTCATCAGGTAGAGCCCTGATTTAATATGTCTCAGAAGTGTAACAACTTGTTGAAAAGCAACTTCCCAGTAGATCTTACACGGGAAGAAGGGCGAGCTCTCAGAATCAGCAGACGCTCCGCAGCTTCCTCCCTTCTCATCCTTACTTGCATGACTTGGAAAAGGCTTTTTTTTCCCCTCCCCTCGTTTTTTTTTCTTTTTCTTTTCGGCGGCTGCTTTTAATTACCATGCAACGCATTTAAGAAACTCATTTAAAGGGTGCGCACGAAGTCACAGCCCGCTTCGCAGCTGGAGCCAGTCCTAAAAGCAGGTTTTATTCATCACCTGGGGGAAACCACCCAGCCCTTTAAAGCCCACTATCTACCTTTAACTGTAGAAGGAAAAAAGTTATTTTCACCTCTTTATATATATAAATTTAAATTCCAAATCCTTATGTATTGCACTCTTTCAAAACACATAAACGCTGCCTACTTCGCTTACAGCCGGAATGACAACACGCTCGCAATTCATCAATATATAACATACGGGTAGAAAACAGCAGGCGCGCACCCTTTAGAATAGAGCTAGTACTGTACATACACGTCTATACCTCGTCCCCGCTCGGAGCCCTTCCAGCGCTGTCTTCTCACTCTCACTCTCTTCCCCCTCCCCCGCTTTTTAACAATGAATACAAACTTTCCTCCAGGGAGGCGGTCTAAAGCCCCACCCACTTGCCACTTTTTAATAGGCCGAGGGGACCCCCTTCATTTAAATGTCACCTCTCCAGTGGCTGTTGGGGAGAGGGGCGGGCCGTTTGGGCGGCGAATGAAAGCTCCGAGACCCGGATCAGAGTTGGAACTTAACAGGGTCGAAACTTTTGGGGTGTGTTTTCCCAGCGACTCCACGCTGCCCCCCCCGCCTCGTGTTTTGTAACCCACGTTGCACTGACACTGGGTCTGCGATTGATCCTCTCCACTCTTCCCGGCTTCCAGTATTATTAGCGCCCTTTGCTTTCGTGCCAAATGAGCGATTCCTTTATGCTTCGGCTCTTCTAATGATGAGATGAGAAATGTGCGCTGCACCCCCAGCGCACATCTGGTTTTCTGAGTCCTTGCTAGGGGGTTCATTGACTCCCTTTTTTTTTCTTTCGCCGTCACGGAAGCGCCCCTGGCTTTCTCTGCTCATTTTTTTTTTAATTTATACAGTATTTATATTATTTTCACTTTCCACAAGCACGCAAAGGACCAGAATTAATCATCTGTGATAGCCTTTTGGCTCAACTATTTGCAAATTTTAATCTCTCTCTTTAGATCAAAGACAGGGGAGTGTGTGGCTCTGCACATACTGTACCGCATCTCCCATCATCCTTCATTCATGCTGGCTAGGCCTCATCATGGGAACTGATTTGACACAGCTGGAGAACTATATGTATTGCACATCCCTGGGTGAGGTCAAGGGGCGGGCAGAGTTCCAGACAACTGTTATCTATTTGGTACTTAATCAAACCTCGTGTAGACCTATGTAGTTCTCACTCTGGAATTGTCTTGATTACTTTCCTAATTGTTAACCCTCTCAGTCAGACTGAATTGCAATGAATCGTTTTTAAATACATTGTCTCATCAGATGATATTGAGAAAACAAAAACAGCAGCAAAGCCCAATAATGAGGTAGTAAAACAGTAACAGCCATTGAAAATAGTGGACAAGACAATACTAGGGAAAGGTGCTTGCAGTAGGGAGAGAGGAAAACTGAATATGAGATGGATTGACTCAAAAATTGTTTGCAAGACCTGAGCAGGGTTGTATGAAAGAACTTTCAGTCCCTAACTCATAGGGATGCTGTAAGTCAGACTGGAGCATATAGCAGCAAGAACTGTTTTGTGGCTTTATTCTTTTACGCCCACACACTTTATTTTGGTTTTTTTTTAATGAACTGTTCTGGGATGTTTCAGATGAAAAGCAGTATGGGGAATGCTCCAAAGTAAATAAATATTAGAGCCCCAAGACTGACCATCTAGAGACAGTTTTTTTAAAAAACAAATGGGTGCCTCTGAATATACTCTTAAGCCTTCACATTGAAATTTGTCTTCAATAGCAGAACTGACCTGACCTCACTGTCCTCCAAAATAAAGGCCTTCTCCAAAGTGTCATCACATGCAACCCTTGCAGCAACAAATCATCCAGATCCAAACCCACTTTCACCTGATCTCTGACTTTGATGGATCATTTGCAAGCTGTGGACACCATCTTGTTCTTTGGCTGAAGTAGGATCAAGCCCATCAAAATTTACTATGGCAAGGTTTATGCCATCATAACCTTGTAAGCCTGAAACACACCCCAGGATTTTGCATTGCCTTTGCCACCGTTGATGTATAGAAGCTCAGGACACAGGAAAGTGCCTTACACCAGGCGTTTGACCATTCTGCTATTTTTGGCTATGTTGCATGCAGCTGATGGGAGTTGAAAGACAAAATCAAAGCTTGGAAATATTACCCCTTAGCACCGTGTTTCCCCGAAGAAAGACAAAATCAAAGCTTGGAAATATTACTCCTTAGTACCGTGTTCAGCCGAAAATAAGATGGGGTCTTATATTAATTTTTGCTCCAAAAATGCATTAAGGCTTATTTTCAGGGGATGTTTTATTTTTTTCATGTCCAACCATCTACATTTATTCAAATAGTCATGTCATCTTCTTCTGGTTGCTGCACAATGGTGGAGGGCGGGGTTTCACTTAGCTGGGGCTTATTTTGAGGGTAGGGCTTATATTACGAGCATCCGGAAAAATTCTACTAGGACTTGTTTTCAGGTTAGGTCTTATTTTTATGGAAACAGGGGTACTATAATTTCCAGAGTTTTTGCTACGACAGGCCCCAGAACTCACAACTGCCAGCCACACAGGCTGGGTGGTTCTGAGAACTGTAATTCAAAAGCAATTTCTCCAAGAAAGCACCTGGGGGCCCAAATATTTCCTTGCCCCACATTACACTGAATTGGACTGTTGGCCTCCTTGTCAAAGGATTTGCCATCCTAATAGCAAGTGCTGTACATTTGGCAAACTCAAGCCAACCTCCACCCTACTGTAGCCTTTTTTGAGAGGTCTCAGCTGTGCTTACTGTCTTTATTGTTTTCCCTAGAAATAGTTCCTAAATGCATTGGAACTTATAACTAAAATGAGTTTGGTGGTTTGTGTAAACAAGAGGAAAAGAGGCAAGTGAAATTTCTTTAGCACCGCAGCTCTCAAATCCTTGGATTTAGTGATGTTACTTCTTCATTCCAATTATGGCATTATGCGGTCTCTGGCTGCAGCTATAGAGTGATATGACACTCTGCACACACTTAGAAGCATCCTTTTCTCGTGCTTTCATACTGGAGATCTTGCACAGCAAGTATGTTCTAAGGCTCAAAAGTAACCACTGGACACAGGAAGGCATATGTGCTTGTCTATGTGCATTGTATATATACAATGCCAATACACCCCTTATAGCTATTTCTATCTTAATGTTGACCTTCCATATAAGATTTGGAATACTTTCCCAATTCCCCCTCCCTCAAAGTTTATATTTAATCCGTTTTCCTGTAGATTAATAGTTCTCAAAATGCAAGCTAGTCTTTGAGGGGGAAAGTCTAATGAAATTACTGCATGCAGAAGGCGCTCCTCCTTATCTTTCCCTTAGTGAAGGGAAAGCAGTGTTTTCAGTCAACGAGGCCATAAATATCGCTCCTGCCCTGTGTTGTTCATTTACACAATGATGACACGCCACTGCCAGTAGCTCAGCTTCTTCACCTTTAAGTTTTAAGTCCCTTACTGCTCCACTTCAGCCCTTTTCCCTTCAGGTAGAACCATGGAGTTATAGAATCAAGGGACCTGGTTGACCCCTCTTAATTTTGGATTGATTAACTTGGACATGTTCTTTTCACTCTATGCGGTGTGGGGGTGGGTGGGTGGAGTTTACGGAAATGTCTGAACATCTTTCCATCAGACTACCCAACCAATGACAGCTTGCTCTTCTGCACATCAGGAGAAGCTAATACATTGCACATTGAAGTGCAGGGCCAGTGGTCAGATTAAGCATGATTCCCAGATGTTGCAATGCAATATAGACTCATGATCCTGTGGTGCCAGTATGACGCCGCCACTTAAGCTAGAGCATATGTTGGCAACATTCGCACAGCGGCAACAGCACACTGCAGCACAAGCCTGGAGAACATGTGGCCTTGCAGATGTTGTGGGGCTGTAACTCCATCAGTACTAACTAGCATAACTTAATGGTGAGGAATAACAGAAACTATGGTTTAAGAGGATTTGGAGAGCCACAGAATCCCCTGCTCTATGGCTAAAATCCACTGGTAAAGCAAAGTGTGTTGCCTATATACCGCCCCATAGCACTTAAACCACTCTCTGGGCAGTTTGCAATTTAATTATGCAGACTACAAATTGCCCCCCACCCCCAGGAAGCTGGGTGCTCCAATTACCAACCTTGGAAGGATGGAAGGCTGAGTCAGCCTTGAGCCAGCTACCTGAGCCCATTGGAATCGAACTCAGGTCATGAACAGAGAGGCTGAACTTGCACTACTGCAATTTTAACCACTGAGCCATGAGGCACTAATAGGAAAAACCAACAGTAGGAACTTTTAGAGCATTGCTGGTAATTCCACCATCATCACACGGGAAAGGAGGTGGGGCAGTTAGTTTTGAATATAGGTAAGGTATCTGCAAGCAGGATCTGAAGGCCTTAGGAATGGACCTCAATGGATGGGAAACATTGACATCTGAGAGTTCAGCCTGGAGACAGGTGGTGCAGCATGGCCTCTCCTAATTTGAAGAGACACTTGTTCAGCAGGCCGAGGCAAAGAAGCAATCCCGAAACCAGCAAAATCAGGGAGCTGTTCAGGAGACAGATTGTGTTTGTCTTCAGTGTGGAAGGGATTGTCACTCTCGAATTGGCCTTATTAGCCACACTAGACGCTGTTCCAAAACCTCTATTCAGAGCATGTTACCATAGTCTCTCAAGACTGAAGAATGCCTACACACAATCAAGAGCCATTAACTTTAAAAGGACCTGCTTCTTGTGCAAACAAACACAACTAGAACAAGCTTGTTGACAAAGATCAACACATTTACCTCTATTGTTGGATGCTCTTTGGAAGTGTGACTATGTGAACCATTGGGAATCATGAAAGGCTGCCTTTGGCCAGATAGGCG